AAAAAAAAAAAAAAAAAAAAAAAAAAAGCGATTCACTGAGATTCGACTGAAAGTTTACTATTAATTAATTAAACATTGTGCTGCTTTACTTAACTGTAAAACAGTGATTAATAATGCTATATGGTTTTTAATGATTATCAATTATTATGTTTTGAGTTTGTATCATAGTTTTTCTTTGCAGTTATTTCTCTCAAAAATTCCCCCCCTCCTCCCCCCCAAAAAAGAGCTACTTTACAGTAAATTTTGCTATGACTATCAGACCGTCTACTAAACCAAAAAAAAAAATGCAGGTAACAGTTTACAGAAAGCATTTTCTGAATGTGATAAATACAACCGAAGTATATATTAGAGTGCAAAATTGTATTCCAATTCAAATATCCGCTAATAACTACCAAGACAATGCTTCTAAAATTCGTTATAAAAACAAAACATTAAAAACATTTACTCGATTTTATCAAAACAAATAAAAGATTGAAAAACTTCACCATAAATAAGTTTAAAAAACAACTATCTGTTCAAATCGAAAACAACTACTGTAAAGTTTTTTTGTACCTCCTTTGAAACTTGTTAAATATGATATGAGTTCAGTAAACTTTCATCAAATCAACAAAAATCATCATCAAATTAGCGTAGCTTAAACAAAAATTGTGCTTTCAGTTTTCAGTCCACTAAATATTTTTTTATTCAAAAATCTTGAAAGAAATTTTGCAGAACTTTTTAAATCTAGCTGCCTAATAGTTTAACGTACTAAAGTATAAGCCGAACAAATACGGCACAAATTAGGAGATAATTTTTTAGTCAGATCAAAAGAAAGAAAAATAAAAAAACTGCGATAATGTACCCACATTTTTACAAACATTTAATTTCTTTTTTTTTTTTTTTGCCAGTTTTACTCTTCACAATTTTAAGCCCAAATGTGCAACAAAACAAAAAATCAAAGACGTTGATAAACCGGAGCTGAGCTTAAAATTTACATTTTTTTTTTTATTTTTTGGTATTTGCATTTATGCATGCAGAATATAATAGAAGAAAAAACTAAAAGCAGTTTTGTAAACAATAAACAACCAAAAAAAAGTCCGAATTAAAAAATTGTTGATTAAACAGATGTGAAATAAAAACAGTTAAAAAGTGTAGTTTTGTCCGTTTTCCTTTCCTTTTTTTCCTTCCCCGTCTTCAACTGTCTTTTTCTTTTCTTGTTTGCCGTCTTTCTTTCTAAAGGAAAAAGAATTTTAGCTGAAGAAATCAGCTAAAAATACAGAAAGAGAAATTGTTTAAAAAAATGATATCCTAGAATTCCAGACAAATACAAATGCTGAAATATATCCGGGAATTGCGGTCTGCCTTATCATTTCTTGATTTCTTACACTGAAAAAACTTTCAACTAGAATTTTATCCTCAATTTTAGGCTTTCATTGCAGTTCAGATTCCTAATTCATTAAAAAAAACCGCAAAAGAAGCACCAGCCGAATAAAATAGAAAAAAAATATTTTCGTAACTATGACCATTGATACAGTAAGCAGAAAACTATCATAAAAATCCTGTTTAATTATTTGCATGTGTTGTCGACAATCTGTTTGTTATCAAAAATAATTTTGTCCAAAAATCAGGCATATCTAAAGACCAGAAAATCGTTGCATTTTTGTAAAAAACAATGGTTTGAAAGTAATTTCTGTCTAATAAACAACGAAAAGTATTACAAGAAAAATGAAGGAAAAAACAGAACTGAAGAATACAGCTTTTAGATAAAAAAACAGACTTTTTTGTCCAAACACCTTCTGCTTCTTTTTTTGCAACACAAAAAACGTATAATAATCAACCTGACATCGTCATCGTCATTATCACCATCAGGTGTTATTGTTCCTAATCCTTTTAGAAAATCTGCTCATAACTTTAAGATGCTTTTTTTTTGTATCGGAAAATTTCCCATAGCACTTTTACTCTGCAGTCG